TACTTTACAGGGGTGCATATCAAGTAACCCTTACTTCAATGTCCATCATAGATAATTATTGATCCCATCATATCAAGTTGTCCTTACCTACGCGGTTACAATCACCCGTGTACGCGGTTTGCAAGATTGTCACCCGCGTAAATGGATAATTATTGATGTCATCCTATATCAACATCTAATTAAGTCCACCTTAGGGGGCAATGGCAATAACCAATTAGGTATTAACTCTAGGCTTGAGGCTTCGTTACTCCAACGGCTTCTGAAACTGAGTTCTTCAGCCTGCAAATTAGCAAATGAATTTCATAAGAATCATAATACTGATACATGGCTCATCTTGATTTTAGGTTCAAATCAAATCAAAATAACAAATAAAAAGAAAAGTTCAACAAGAGGGCTTCTGTAATGTTCTGTGAGAGGCTGAATGAAAAGATTCAAAGTTGCTATGGCCGTGCTTTGTAATGTTCGTTCGTTTCATAGATCGACAGTTCTAGTTTTTTTTTTTTAAAAAAGATGAGTCGCATTCTTGACGGACTCCACCTGCCCTGGGCATTGGTGAAGGAGGTAAATTACAGGTTATGCTTCCAAGGGTACAAGGTGGAAAATGCTGCTAGTATGCTTGCACTTACCCAATGGCCAAATTCTTATTTCAGGATTCGAACCCTTGACGCGGCAGCCTCAAGCAAAGTGGGAGTTTTTCCACCTTCTCCTTTTACCACTTGGAGATGTGCCATGGGGGCAAAGTGGTAGTGTATATTTATGCTGGCGACGATGGTGAATGAAGTGGGGGAATGGAATAGTGAAAATGGGGTTACGGTTTCTACAAATGGGCAGGTGTGGAATGGGGTTGCGAGTGGGGGTGAAGTGCACCTGATTTTTGAAAAAATAATAATAATTATCNGAATCATGGGCCATTGCTAATATATATATAATAAAAAAATCATTGGGTTGGACCCAAATGTTCAGTGATGCCGGCTCGTTGTTTTAATGTACAACGGTCTGCGCCTAGGCACCTCGTCTTCGGCCTAAACGCCTTCCAAATATATTTTTCTTTATTCCAAAGTTCTCATCAAATTCAGCACAAATTTGTATTCCCAATGAGCTTATATGTAGAACTTCTATTAAAATTCGCTAAGTAAACTTGAATAAGATTTCACAATAGCATTTTAAAGTAAAATTTTCTTAATATGAACTTTAATATGAACTTTCAATTATCTTCAATTAAGAATTCGGGTGTGACTCGAATTCTAACCAATCGAAAAATACATAAGAATTGAATTCTTTGATCCCGACTCATCCTTGATGAAGGAAGGTATGGTATAATTCGCATCAACTTTTGAATTCAAGTCACAGAAAGTTTGAAAAGCAGATGCCAAACATACTGGCAAGGAAAAGTTTTAATTCCCTCTCAAAAAGTTCGGTCCTGACCTATCTTTTTACAATTAATCTAGTTCTACAAAATTTGTTGACAAAATAAGTGTGGCAAACTCTATCATTGATTTTCACTGATTTTAAAAACTGTTTTTAAAATGATCGGCGTAGATATTTTCAACACCTAATTTGCAAACCAAGTTTGTCGTTACTTTGTAAACATAGCACGATTAATCTTTTTATATGTTGTCACTTGTTATGTGGATTCTGTGTTTAAGGTTCAATTGAGATAATCAAACAATTTCTTTGATGGCGAAAAATGATTAATCAAATCACTCTCAAATATTGGCATTGCAATACATGTTTGTATGGATCAACAAACCAGATTTAAGGGTTTTTTTTGGGCGATTCTAATGTATACAAAACATGACATGAAGTCAGTTGACAAACATTTTCCTCAATCTTCAAAAGTGGTTCTCAAGTTCCAATCACTTTATTCATTCAGCATAGTATGTATTCTACAGCATTCGTGGGTTAGGCAAAGCTTTCAACCAATAAATTAAGTCCAATTTCTAGTTTAAATGGATTAAAAACAATCATTATGTAAATTATGGGTTTAGATTATTTTTTTAAAATTCTAAAGGAGACACACGTCATACAGATATAGAACTATTCTATTCTGATAAGGGGAACAAAAGGTATTAGATTTGGTTACATGTTACTTCACAAGTATATTTTTGGTAGTTTCTAAAAGAAATATTTTATTCGATCTTCAAAGAGAGACTTTTCCCCCCTTTTTGTCGCGTTCACTCGGAGCCACCTTTTACTAGGATGGATCAATTGCGAGTGTAAAATAATATAACTCATGTCGTGCATAATAACAATAAGGATCTCGAATCATTTTAAAAGACAAACTCGTAATCATTAAGAAAATAAAGAGGCCCTCCTTCTTTAAGAGGACGATGCAAAGGACTTAATTTGTAGTTAAAAGATCTTCTAAATATTTAATTTTAATCCATACTAAACATAGAATTATAATCTTTTAAAATCGAGCAAAATTTTATTTGAGGACACGATACATTAGTTTTTATATATATGACACCAAAATTCGTACCCCATCTCACTCTAAAAAGCATGAAAGCATTATCTAACTTCCACTACAACATTTTCAACTATTAAACAAATTAAAAGTTTCGTTAATCAAATAACCTCCACACATTCCTTATATTCTTGAATTGTAATAGTAATGCCTTTATTTATAATCTTTGAATTGTTTTCATATTCTTTTGCATCAATATTTAGCTTAATCCATAATTAAGTACATAATGTCCCCTTATTTATTAAACTAATTTAAAACACAGTAAATTCAACACCTTTTCCTCTTTTTAATAACCCCACCCCTAAATGCTTGTTTATGCTGTAATGGAAGTGCAAAAATGTTGTATCACTTCAAAAACTCGTTGATTTTATAAAGGCTCGCGAGTAGCATAATATTCGATACAACTGTATAATGAACAAAATTTAACATTTCTTTTGGCACTAAAAGTGCTATAACTAACTATATACAATACAAAGAGAAAATTTAATAGTGCAAGTCTTATACTGTCATTTTCTAACCTACATAATGGCCAAGAATTGCCTGAACTTTACTTTATGTTTGCATTTTTCTTGCTTTTCCACAATCTTTGCAGAAGGCAACGATGGCTCTTTTTTGCAGTTTTTTTCTGAGCTCCAAACATTTTTTCGAGTTCTTTTCACTTAATATTCTTTTCTAACGGAATGTTCCTCCAAATTTAGGGTCCCAAAAATCAGATGCAGTCTCTGCAGCAATCGGAAAGGTGCTTAACATTGGAACCAGGCAAAGTCCCCGGCTTTTTAGGTCTTGTTTTGGCCCTTTTTCATCCTTAAGTTTATCAGCAAGCTGCATACAAGATACGAAATGTTTGGTGAGGTAAACCATACAGTACTTGATAGTACTAAATGAGAAAAAGAAGCGAAAAATATTGTAGATTGTAGCATCTAATCCTATCTAGTACAAAAAGTAGAGTTAAGCTACATGGATCCAATCCTGCTGATGATTCTATAATCTGACTGAAAAAAAAAAAAAAAGCTCTCTTTTTCCATGTTTGGTACAGAAGATTGATATTATTATTGAAGAAAAAGAAGTTAAAATTCTGTTTAATATACTATAATGTGCACTTTAAGTCTTACCATTTGACCTCGAACTGAAAATCCATTTTTCATATAAGAAGCACTTAATACCTGAAAAAAGAAAAAAAAAAAAAAAACCTCCAAAATATGTAATGAGTTTCTTGTATTTTTATAAACTAATCAACGTTGAACATGCAACGAAATGTTTTATAAGTGCTATAAAAATAATATTTGAATATGCGTGAATGCTAATTAATTTAGAATTAATACCAGAGAATATATACGTGACAATGAATGTTAAATCATTTATTCATTTTTCAATTAAGTAAAATTGAATGTTAATTAGTATACATGGACGTGAATAATACAATGCATTAGTAAATGTAAAATTCTAACTAACTTATAATTAGAATTAATAACATTGAAATACATAAATGAAGATGATTATTAATTAAATGAATGTGAACGCTAAATAATTGAGAATTAATAATAGAAAATTCATACATTAATCAAAGTTCACATGTGAAATGAATTTGTCAAATATACGTTTATATTGATGGTAACTAAAATATTAAATAAATTAAATACCTATTAAAAAACGAAAAGTAAAGTATTATTGAAATAATTGAATTATAGTAAAGCTAGAATCGTCAAAAAAATGATTATCACTTGATGCGGTATTTAATATATTATAAATTTTCATTTAGTTTCAATGGAGAACATACACTGACTTGATTATGGAGAAATCTTATGTATTCAATTGCTTCCTGGAGAACCGATGCAGTATCAGTCTGGAAGAGTACAACAAAATTAATCAATTAACACACAAAAGCATACATAATTTGTGGAAAAAGCTGAGAAAAAAAATCTTTACCTTTCCAAAAGGTGAAACCAACTGCTGGAGGGCAGTTATTCGGTCCCCCAACTTCTCTTTTCTGACCTGATAAAAGCTAAAAAATTATTATTCTTTTGCAAAAATTAATACCTAAAATGCATAAATTACAGCTCTCTTTATTCAAAAGATTGATCAGACATATTGTACCTTAAAGGTTGGTAATGGTGACGGTGTTTCAATTCGGGATCGCTTGAATGCTGGTTCAATGCTAGTTTTATTTGCTTCCGAACCCATCGGGTTAAGGTCTGACGAGAACTGGGCTTGTGCCGAAGGGAAAAGGATTGGTCGATTGTTGTTGAGGGCACCCGCAAAGGGTGAGTTGTTTGAGAACTGTAAATGACTAACAGGTTGCTGTTTAGGCAAAGAAAGAGAAAATTCATTCGACTTCACCGGGTAATTGATGGCGGATGAAAAGTTCAAAGCCGGAGTACTATCTGATAAAGATTGTTGAGGCTGATCAGAATATGTATCAAATAAAGTTTGCAAACATGATGAAGTGTAGCTATCAGAAGCTGAATTCAATGGAAAGGAGGGATTTTGGGCAGCAGTGGAGAAATTCTTTAAGTTCCAATCCATTTGATTAATCTGTGAACTGTCAATTCCAGTTTGTTGCTGATAATTCATGCCTGAATTCTGGTTTACTTGCTTTGTGTGAGAATAATTTCCCTCAGATATTCCATTTTCTTGGCTGCAAGATGACAATAAAAAATGAATTTCTTGAATCAACTAGACCTAACTTTTAAATATTATCATCATGAAAATCTGTATGGAGCAAGCAACTTTTTCCTGGCACTGATTATTTGGATAATCATGCTTGTTGAGTATGTTAAAACCCCTCATCTAAAAAATGAATCACTTGGATCAACAAATAATTAAAACAGGTAATTCTTACAGAAAATCTTGATTCCAAATATCAGTCATTGTGGATGATGAAAAACTGATTCCCATCATTTGTAGGGTTGAATTAGTAACTGGCTGCTGAGACTTTTGTCCATCAGAATCAGAATTAGACTCATCACTGGACCATGTTTTCTTCAAATCATTCACCACTTCATCGTTTGGCCATCCAAAGCTTCCCATGTCGTTGATGGCGGATGAACAGGGCGAAGAACCGAATAAACTTCTTGCCGGATTCCACCAGCTTCAGCCACAAACGCCACCCTGTATTAATTCTTCAGCCATGGCCACTTGTTATTCAAGTTCCTAAAAAACTTTCCTTTATAATTCCAACAGTCTTGTTTTTTTCTGCTTTTTGCTTTTAGAGATGTCTTGTGCTCTTTGTGACTTTGGTTCATAGGAAGTGAATCTATTCTTCGTCTTGTGTGTGTATTTGTGTACACATATAGAGACAATATGTGGAGGGCACATACGAACAGGTGAATTAAACTCCGGAATCTGGTTCACCTTTATATGATATTATATTGGTAGATTAGGCAGGCCAAAGAACATATTGAACAGTAAAATAAGATTGAATAGTTTTGGCATAAATATCAGGTGACTTTCAATCTAAATTCAACTTTCGGTTCACTCGTGGGATCCGGACGGTCTGGAAGGACCTTATCTGCCTTGATCTTCACAAAGGGTAATGCTATTTATTTTGCAACAAGGTTTTAATCCCCACTCATTCTCGAGCTATTTATTTTTCTACCAGATGATAAAAGGTAATGTGTAGAAGAAAAATGACAAACGCATCATTATGCGTTAGGTCAAATATAATTTGCATTGCTATAGAAATCTCAATAATATTTAACGTCACCAAGTAGATATTCTTTGTATTTGGACTCATATAGTATGTAAATCTTCAACTTGAAGTTCACAAGAAATCTAAGACGTGAATAAATATATGTACATAGGTCAACTTAAAGAAAATTAAAGAAAAAGAACAAAGAAGGCTACTTGGCCTTGACTTGTGTGTGTCAAATATTTCAAAAGCAAGTTAGGTCACGTTCACATTTTCCTTGGAAATGGAGGTTGGTGGTGGTGGCCTTAGGTCAGCCATAATTTCATCCCATAAATTGCTGCAATTGACTTGTGTAAAATGTTATTCTCACACCATAATTTACTTTCTATATATCCCAATACTATTAAGACTCGTTTCAAAATACAAAGAATTTAATATTTTTTCTCGATAGGTTTAGAATAGTATGAACTAGAAGCTACTTGTAAATTTATTGAAATTATATTTTATAAAACCATATGGTACGCTTGTTTTGATTTTTGGTTAAGCCAAGGTTCACCGGTGTTGCAAGAATCACATTGGACCTCAAGTTCACACGAATAAAACTAGAATTAACAAAAGTCAAAGTTTTCGATATAAAATTCAAAGAATCAGTACGTCTACTCGATAATTGGTTAACTATGCTTAAATTTATCAATTTCTAAGTTCTATTTAAAAAAAAAAAAAAGAGAAGAAGAAGGAGAAAAAAGTTAATTTTATTTAAATTTTTTAGCACCGTTTTAATCCCATTTCGACTTAACATATATCTTTTGATAATTGACTTTTTTTTTAATTATTTTTTGAGCTTGATTCATTTTCTTAAAATATTGTGGTTGACACCAAAGTCAAATTCTTTGTGCCAAAAGAGAATTAGGTCATTCTCATCCACTCCTTGGATTTTCTACTTGTCTTTTTGTAATAGTGGAACGTTTTATTTTACAAAAATCATGACCGTTTAAACTTGACAAGTCATGGTTTATGACTTCTCCTACTATCACCTAATTACTAGTTCAAATATGTTAATTATGGCATTAGAAAGGTAATTGACATTCACCAAAATATTAATTCAAATCTTTTCTTGTCTTTAGCCCAACTTATATGTATTAATGTGCACATTTTTTTAACTAGAGAAAATATTTTTTCAATAAGATTGATTATTCAACAAATTGTAGAGGATGTTATTTGTTTTGGTTGGATGAAGTGTAGTAATGGAGTTGAGAGGTAAGTTGGACCTACTCTTTCGTTTTGTTTTCTCCATTGGTTATCACTGCTAACTAGATATTGGCCACCATGCCCAATTTTTTGTGGGCAAATACCATCTTTTGTATTGGATCAATGTCACTTTTAATGTAAATAAATTGTAACAGAGATAATGAAAATGTAGTAGCTAATACTTTGCGCGATATATTAAGTATAAGGTCATGTAAGCACTAGAGAGTAGTTGTCGAGAGAGACAATTGAAGCACGCCCATCCAATCTTAGGTGTCGTTTGCAGTCTTTCAATTTGAAAATAGAAGAAATCGTGTTTTCCCTAGTGTCCTCTCATACATTTTTATATTTTGAATCTCAAACAAACCGAATGAAAAGACCACCCCGTCTTTCTTCCCATTCCAGTATTTGTCGTCGAAAGTCTTCAATTTTCATGTATTTGATCTTTCTTGATCTAAATATTTTTAATATATAAAGATGCATCCCTAGGATTTGGTTTACAATATTCTGCAAACCGTCAACAAGCCTATTAGTACCTAATTTTAAGCTATTAAGGATTGGTGAGTTTTCCTAATTGGTCCCGTGAATAATTTTAATTATGCAAAAAAAAGTTTCTTAAACTAATAATTAAAAATGAGATTTTGTCAAATGGTTCCAATAAAAATAAAGGATTTTGACTACTTTTGGAAAGAGAAGTTTACACGATAGCTACAAGTCAACTAATATCTCTTAAGACACTGAATATTATGGTTAATGTATCAAGTTAGGCTTTTTTTTCTTGATTTTATATTGCTGGATTTCTACCTAATTTTGTTAGTTTTCCTCCGGTGATATCGTTTGCTCCAAACTTAAAAAAGAAAAATATCGTTTGTAATCTTATATATAGTTTTTAAATGTTATTTAATTACTGGAATAGTATTTTCAAGATAATATTTAATCTCTTTTGTAATTTTATTTAATTACAGACTGGATAAATTAAATATATTAAAATATGTTTTGTGCTGTTTTTAAATAACCAGCCCAATAATAGGGTTGGGGTTGGGCTCATGGTCCAATCCGGCTTATTTTAGCCCGTATTATCCATGTGTGAAATGGGCTTTGATCCGAATTATCCACATATACATATTAGTACTTATAAAATGTGGAGATTACACCACATCATACTTTTAAAGATCAATATTCTAAAATCAAGGTGAAGGTTTCATTATACAAAATTCATATATTATAAGTCAATATTTTAATATTAATAATAATATTATAAATTAATTTATGTACACACCCCTACCCTATCTATCTCATTCAAACTCTAAAATCATTTTTTCTCTCATCTCCTTTACATTCTTTCTTCATCACCCGTCTCTCTATCCTCAGACTGTCATCGCAACCAGGATGTCGCTGCAACAACCTCGCTTGATGTGAGGTCGTTGGTGCGACGCGCCGTTGCAATGCGGCGATGTGAACTTTGTAAAGCGGTTTCATCCCTACCATTGCTATAGTTCAGTGGTGATGGTGGTGCTACAGGTGGTGGTAAAACTGGTAACAACGATGTAAGGTGGTTGGTTGTGGTCTGGTGGTGGTGAGGTGTTGATATCGTGATGGTTTCTTGTTAATAGGTATGCGAAGGAGTGTAGGTTGGACATTGTTGTTGTGGTGGTGGTGGTTGAAAATGGTGGCGGCGATGACGGAGGCGGCGACTATGGGGGTAAGGTGAAGGTGGTTGTGGGCTTTGGTGTGTCTGGATTTGATTTGATTTGTTGGTGGTAAGGTGGTGCTGGTTGTGATGGTTAAGTGATGGTTTTGATGATTTTGTGATGGTGATCGTGGTAAAAAATGGCGGTGCAGTGATGTGGTGTTGATCGTGGTGGTTGTGGTAGCGATGACGATTGTGATGGTGACGACGACGGTGGTTACAAATTATTTGGTTGATTGAAACCAATAAATTGGTTAATCTATGACTAATGAATAATATGTGGCCAATGAAATATATAATTTTGTGACTAATAAATAATGCGTGACCTAAAAGATTCCTAAGTTGTGACCAACAATTTGATAATTTATAGTCGAAAATTAATTTCTGACTAACTAATTTAATATTTTGTGACCATAAAATGAATTGTGGATTGTAAAATTTGTGATTCGTGACCAATGAATAATATGTGACCTATACAATTTTTTATTTGTGATCGTGAAATAATTTGTGTTATATAAATTTTTTTTATTGTGATTGAGAAATAATTTGTGACCAACTTGTACAAAATTGTGACTTTAATATATTTAATTAATAAAATATATGTTTAATTAATTAGTTTATAGATAAAATTTAAAAAAAAAACTTATTTTTAAAATTTTAAACTTTTTTTCTTAGTTTTGAAATATGACATACTTAATCTCTTATATATGAATTTTTCCCTTATAAATTTGATCTTCTATTCCACGTGGACAGAATAAAAACTTCTTACGATTGATATGACAGAGAAAATCGTAAATATGTTTTCTTAAATGTATAACTATTTCAGAAAATCGCAAATAAGTTTTGGTCAGGAGATCAAATCTGCTAGTAGCTAATATATTTTTCATTAGAAAATTGATAGAAAAAACTAAAAAAAATGTTCTTAATATTTTTTTTTCAATAGATACATTTGTATGAAGGGCTTTCTTTCATCAACGTAAAGATGCGTTAACATCTTCGAAATCCTTGTTACAATTAAAATGAGGCCACTTCATAATAAGAGTTCATTCTTTATAATTTCAAAATTAATTAAAATATGTAGGAATGATAATGAGCTCAAGCCGACCCTGCTAATTTCCCCATGAGAGCTCGTCCCCTAGAGCTCTGGACTTTATCATCACGGGCAGGTCCTATGAACCTAATACAACTTGACCCGCTGGTGGATGAATGGCTTTCTTTCATCAACGTAAAGATGCGTTAACATTTTCGAAAACCTTTTTACATTTAAAACAAGACCAATTCATAACAAGAGTTTATTCTTTATAATTTCGAAATTAATTAAAATAGGTAGGAATGATAATGGGCTCAAGCCGACCCTGCTCATTTCCCCACGAGAGCTCGTCCCCTAGAGCTCTGGACTATATCATCACGAGCAGGTCTCATGAACCTAATACGACTTGACCCATTGGTGGATGAATAGCTTTCTTTCATCAACGTAAAGATGTGTTTGTGTTAACATCTTCGAAAACCTTGTTACATTTAAAACGAGGCCAATTCATAACAAGAGTTCATTCTTTATAATTTCGAAATTAATTAAAATAGGTAGGAATGATAGTGAGCTCAAGCCAACTCTGCTCATTTCCCCACGAGAGCTCGTCCCCTAGAGCTTTGAGCTTTATCATCACGAGTAGGTCCTATGAACTTAATACGACTTGACCCGTTGGTTGATGAATCGAGCCAAGCATTGCCAACTAAGAGTTGGATATGATATTTTGATGGACCCACAATGGGCTGATGGGGTTTGTAGTCCAATAAAAAGATCTTCAACACAAAATTTACCGTCCTAGCAATTCCCAAATTGTCTCCTTTGCGACCTTATCATCTTCTCCCCCACAAGCTCCTTCATTTCCACTCTAATGGCTACTCTAAACCTCTATCCCCATCCCAAAACCCTATCTTCCACCCACAAAACCCTAACAATCCTTAATCTCTCCTGCCCATTTCCCTCTACCTCCATATCGTTCATTCCCTGCACTTCCACGCCCCAAATTCCATCAAGAACTGCCGCTATTCCTGTGCTGAGGGCCATAACTGATGGGGATTACTCTTCCAAAAGAAGCAGCAGCAGTGAGGAAAGGGAAACGATAATGTTACCTGGCTGTGACTATAATCACTGGCTTATTGTCATGGAGTTCCCTAAAGACCCTGCTCCCACTAGAGAGCAGATGATTGAGACTTATCTCAACACTCTTGCCACTGTTCTTGGCAGGTTAGTTGATTTTTTTTGGTCGTCTAGTTTCATTTTCAGAATTCTGGGAAAATTGTGTTTCTTTATGTTGTTCATTAGGTAGTAGTGGTTAACATTTTCCGCCCCTTTTCCCACGTTATGCTATGTTACCTTGTGAAAAACATTTTGTTGTGTTTGGCGCACCTATTAGGCTGTATAAGAAACTAAGCATAAAATTTCAATGGATAATATTAGGTAGATAGTATTATGGTGAATTAACGTTGGCAGTATTCGTTAATTTTTCATTCGAAGATATTGTTTGCACTATCAATCGTACAGCATAATATGGAGCATGGAGATGGGTTTAGAAAGGATAAAAATCAAATAATACTTTCCAACTCAGTTCACCATAATATCATCTACAAAGTTTTATAGTAATTTCTTTATGTGGTATAATTCGGTGCGCCAAACGCTGTCTTTATGTATTTGGCAAATTATAGAATTGATTTTACTGCACTAGTCCTTCTGAATGCTACTATGATTTGCTTGATTTAAGCAATAATGAAACTGCTGTAATTTGATGGCCATATTGTTTATATGGAGAAGTACGAATGGACAAGATTCTAAGCTTTTTTTTGTTGCTAATTGAATCCTGTCTATTATTATCCAATTGAACATTCCAAACTTTTATGAAATGGAGTATCTGAAACCTTTTTTTGGAGATTATAATTTGATGAAGGTCCGTTTTGGGGATTCTTATGATTATGTGTCACATATTTGGAGTGTTTTTATTGTGTCAGTATGGAAGAAGCAAAGAAGAATATGTATGCTTTTAGTACGACCACATATACTGGATTTCAATGCACTGTATCTGAAGAGACATCAGAGAAATTCAAAGGTATTTGCATTGAAGCATCGACATCCGTTTTTACTTTTTATACAAGTTATTTGAGTTTCCAGGAATCCAGGTCCTAAACCGACTATTGGAACCATGTTTTCATATCTGCAGGTTTGCCAGGTGTTTTGTGGGTTCTGCCAGATTCATACATTGATGTTAAGAACAAGGACTATGGAGGTTCTTCACTTACTAGCAATTTTCGTATCTGCATCTAAATCGAAATGTGACTACAGCGATTCATTATATAATATTAACTCTCTTTTTTTTTGGGGCGATTCTAGGGGATAAGTACATTAATGGAGAGATAATTCCTTGCCAATACCCAACTTATCAACCAAAGCAGTCTAGAAGTTCAAAATACAAGAGCAAAGCATATGTGAGACAGAGAGATGGTCCTCCAGCTGAACGAAGAAAACCAAGACAAGAAGCAACTCCGGAATCTGCTTCTTGATGAACAGTCAGCAGGTACGAATTTGTTTCCATGATTGATTCTGTTGATATTAGCTTCTTATCTCAAATGACTTAAGACAATGTGGAAGCATATGATTTGTTCTTCATTTGATAATACGAAGGTCCTGTTTGGGATATATTCTACTTCTATTTTTTGTAGAAGAGTTTCTTGAGAAAGCCATTTTAGGCCAACTTCTTGTACAAGTTATTTTGACTTTCCATAAGCTCAGTCTAACATGCACTATAAGTGTTGCCATTTATTTTCTTTTCACTTTTTTTTCTCATTTTTTACTGTTGTGCTTTTAATACTGTTCGGTCCTTTCAAAACTGTATTAGACATGCCATTAGTCAATTTAAATTTTTAATATTGTTGGTGTTGTTTGCTGGTTTGCAGGTGGCGGATTCGGTTGCAGAGTTGAATTACTATTTGTGAAATGCTATTATGTTATTAATAGTTTTAAAAGGTAGAGGGTTTTACGGCGATGGGAGGTCGATCTAGGTTACCAAACTCTGCTTATTTCTTAAGCTTTGATTAGTTATTGACATCTAGACCAGTTCAAAGTTGTTCTACGTGAGCAACAGTCAATGCAGTATGAGTATGTAATGTAGAACTGATTTTGTCTCCTTGTTCTCTATGATCCAGTAGCTTGAACTCATTTCTCATATGAGTAGTTCACATTATTTACTTGTCAAACATTATGGATCCAAGTTTTCACCGAGCCGATATGGCCATGTGCGTGTTTAATATACAGTATGGATATGGCTAGTCATTATAAAAAAGAAGTTAAAATTTTGTTCATATGATGTTGAGTCCCGCCCATACCATACTGCTTACTAATTTGAAGCGAGCTATGTATTTTTAGTCATTATAAAAAAGAAGTTAAAAGTCCCACTCATTCCATATTGCTTACCAATTGGAAGCGAGCTATGTATATTTTGTATTTTTTTGCAGTTCTGTCCAAAACAGTCAGGATCATGCTTTATCGAACCGAAATTTCTATTTAATGAAAGTATGATAATTTTTTTATAATTGTTTATCGATGATATATTTAGTGTGTGTTTGGTAGGGATTCTTTGGGGGAAGAATTGATTTTGAATAGTGATATGATGGGAAATGTGTGGTTGAAAAAGAAGATAAGATTATTGATGTGATGGAAAATATTATTTTATTGAAGAATGTGTGGTTGAAAATGGGAATTAATTTACTGTTGAAAGGGAAGAATTGATTTTGAATAGTGATATGATGGGAAATGTGTGGTTGAAAAAGAAGATAAGATTATTGATGTGATAGAAAATATTATTTTATTGAAGAATGTGTGGTTGAAAATGAGAATTAATTTACTGTTGAAAATGAGAATTTTTACCAAACATAGCCTTAAATAATAGATATATAACACCATACTATTTATTAAAAAAAATCCCTCTAAAGCCTAAAGGTTGTTTTAAAAAAAAAAAAAAAATTCAAATCTGCCCTGATTTCCTAAAGCCCTAAAAACCAGCTTATCATTTCCATTTCAATCGAAAAGCCTCAACCTTTTCACACTGCCACCACCAATGTCTGCCGTCTCTCGCCTCCTCCACCGTTCTTTCTCCACCACTGCCCAATCTCCCTCCATCAAGTCCCTTTCCCAGGACCTCTACAAGGAGCGAAACCTGAAGAAACTCGTCCAGAAATTCAAGCTTTATTCATCTTCCGACCGTTTCCGCACCAAGAATGGCATTTATGAGTCCACGGTCCGCCGCCTGGCTTCCGCCAAACGCTTCAAATGGATTGAAGAAATTCTCGAACATCAGAAGCAATTCAGACATGACATTTCCAAGGAGAACTTCTCTATCAGGCTTGTCAAATTGTATGGACAATCGGGCATGTTTGAGAATGCGAAAAAAGTGTTCGATGAAATGTCTGAGAGGAATTGTGAAAGGAGTGTGAAGAGTGTGAATGCCCTTTTGTCAGCTTGTGTGAATTCGGGGAAACTTGAGGAGATTGAGGGGATTTTTAGGGAAATGGAGATGAAGTGGCAAGTGAGGCCTGATGTCGTTTCATATAATATCGTGATCAAAGGGCTGTGTGAGATGGGGGAGTGGGATAAAGGGTTGGGTATGCTTGATGAGATGGAAAGAAGTGGGGTGAAGCCCGATTTGGTTACTTTTAATACAGTTCTTGATAAGTTATATTCGAATAAGAGGTTTGATGATGGTGAAAATATGTGGAGACGAATGGTGGAAAGTGGATTTTTACCCAACATTAGGAGCTATAATGCGAGGCTTGTGGGATTACTTAATGAGAAGAAGTTTAATGAAGCTGTTGAGTTGATTAGTGAAATGGGGAAAAGTGGGATACAGCCTGATTTTTTTAGCTACGCAATTCTTATTAGAGGGTATTGTGATGAGGGAGATTTGAAGGGGGTGAAGAAATGGTATAGCGAGTTGGTCAGAAGCGAGTGTGTCCCGGATAGGGCATTGTTTAGGGTGGTTCTTTCATCTGCACTAGACAATGGTGATTATGATTGGGTTTTTGAGCTTTGCAAAGAGGTTTTCGAGAGAAAATGTCTGGTTGATGCAAGTTTGTTGCAGAATGTGGTGGATGGGTTCGTGAAGGATTCAAGGATTGACGAGGCTAAGATGGTTGTTCAGATGGGGAGGTCAAATGATTACCGCCATTATAAACTTGAGCTTCCATCACAAGTAGTTTAATTACTCTGACTACATTGATCCTTGTACTTTATCTTTGGCTTGGCTGAATGTTGAGTTGAGATAGCTGAATGAATTTGAGCTACCGACTTGAGAAGTGCTCTAAAGTTGAAAGAATATGTTTATTTCGACCTCGTTTAGAGACTAAAACTTTTAGAGAAAATGTTTTGTAGTCTTTCTACTTATGTTGCAATACAATTGAAATGCATGCATGCCGCGCCGTTCCCTTAATACTTGCTATAAAATGTTGTGCTCTAAAATGCTTTTAGAGAAAATGTTTTGCAATCTTTCCACTTATGTTGCAATACAATTGAAATGCATGCATGCCGCGTCGTTCCCTTAATACTTGCTATTGCTTTGGATTCATTGCTATGTTTGGTGAAACTTTATGCACTTTTGTTAGGCTTGCCAAAGAAACATTTTTGTGCATGTAATGGCAAGAAGATAGACGTTAGTTTGCTCTAGTAGCGTGCTTTGCTAGAAATCCACTTACAGTACAAACTGCAACTCAAGAATAATTCTATCATATAAGAAGCGGTGCTTTTTCTATGCATCATCAAACAACATAGATTTCATATACTTCTCAAGAAGTGGGAGCTGTTGATTCTCATCATAACTGTACATAAGAGGGACCATTCTTGCAAGATTAAGAGAAACCTGGGCGAAAGACGGTGCAGAAAGTTTTAGATTAAAATACTTCTCATTAAGACGTTTCCATTCACTTGATATCAGATCAAGAACACGAGTTTGTCCAATATCCACAGTTATGCCACCGTGCTCTTTCATGTAGCAGTCTATGTATGATCCATCATTGCCATCTTGATTCTCATCCTGCCAAATGATCCCAAATTTCAATCACGTTGACTTATTTTTCATCATAAGTTGTGTAAATCATTACCTTGGCACTTCCTAAGTCGTCCCATAAACGAAGAATTATCCCCACAGAGGATATGATTCCAGATATGTCATTCAAAGGGATGGCATTTTGTGTTGTTTGGCTAATACCCAAAATAAAAAAGGAGTGAACTAGAACTAGATGTACTCCGGAACTTAACTTCCCATTTTCCAGGTACTTGTCTGCTGTTGGCAAGTATCCGGAGGCAAACCATTTGGCTTCTACCAGGAACGAGTTGCACAAAGTCGCCCACTGTAACATCAAAGAATCCTATTAAATTGTCGCGTTTGTACAATAGTGAAAATATACATTTGTATGTTTGGTTAACAGTACTCGACCATACAATAAACATTATTTATCTTTCTTTTCTTTAGTATTGTCCAGAGCTCCTTACAAGTTACAAGACAAGCTCCCATAGAGCATTGTTGATTTACCGCTGTTCTTAGGGTTTCAATCGGGTTATATCCGTGCTTCTTTTCGACCGTGTAGCCCATCTCATTCATCGTGTCGAGCAGTGCCTTGTAACAAATTTTCATGAAGTCTGGTAACATATCCATGGCAGCATATTCCCATCTACACATGATTAAATTTTGGTCATTTTATTGTAGCTAAAATTTGCTTCTGAAAAATCAAATAACTGAAAAATACCTGTTTATGGCTTCTGTAAACAGTGCCAGTTTTTGGGGTGTCCCATAAACATCAAAAATGTCATCTATTATGTAGATAAAAGCAATGCATTTTGTCAGCTGAATTCTTTGCTCTTCAAAGGAGGGATCATTTAGGCAGGCCATGGACCATGTGTACCATTTCACTGGTTGGTTCCTAGCCAGCTTCAATTCCTCTGCCAAGCCAAGTTCTTTCCACCATCTAAAATAACAAGGATTAAAACCCGACCTTATGATCAAGAAGAAGAAGCTTTACGATACAGATCTCACCCCTCTCTTTTTCTTTTTCTCACACCACACAAAAAACAGCCTTCTCACACTCCTTTATACACGTAGGAAGTAAGAGTGATCTAATACAAAAATATGAATGCCCAAATTGGTACTTGTACCTAAGATCGATTCACGGTCGAGAGTAGAAGTGAACAGTAGAGCAAATTTTAAATAAAAGGGTACTGGGTACATATATATTCGAAAATGATATTGGTGGATAGGTAGAGAATTCTGAGGGGGCTTTCTAATCAAGAGATTAAATTGTATATTGTGTATAACCATTTTCTTACTTGAAAACTTGATGCAGTTCTTGTCTATGCATGGATTTTCGCAGCTGAAAATCCATATTTGCCATCTCTTTCAATGTTTTTTCCAGTCTGTTTTTGCCTTTAAAATAAAAAACAAAGTCGTTTGAATTCAATCTTGCCATGCTCTTGTGATAAGGATGTCTCAATGTGTGATTAACAATTCTAGATAAATTCTGATCCATATTTGTCGTGCATTCTTGAAGAATCTGGCTACTGAAATATGCTGCCTCATCAAGAATGTCTTCTCCTTCTAAACAAAGTTGTGCTGCTTCATACAATTCCATCATTCCAATGATGTCTTGTCTTAGGTTTTGTCTGAACCTCCCATTCTTGCCCTTGAAGTTGGTGAATACATCTGCATTGTGCATCTGTATTATTACTTGGTTAATAATATATATATGTTAAATGCTACTCAACATTATTTAAGAGTATTATGCAAGAAAAATAAGTAAAAAGATCTTGTTTGTTATTGTGTGTAAATTGTTAGTTTGATGCCAAGGTTATCATCTTACCCTTTATGTGTGAAGATTTAAATAAAAACATCCTACGATCTCAAGGTGATCTAAGATCCACCATGCATTTGGGTTTAATCGTCAATGGAAAATTAATTTCCTTTTGTGATGATTAAATATCCCCAATCCAACATAAATAGTACTGGAATAAGCTAAAGAACCATACAAGATTATAGAAGAAGCAACTTAAAATCTTCTTTTTCTTTTTATCTTGTGCAAACTGGAGAGGAAAAAGGAAGAATAACAAGTTAAGATCTTGTTTGTTCATATACGAGACTATCTAGTACTGTGTACCAAAGATGCTCCTTGAGTTACGGATTACTATTTTCATAATATAAAATAAATGAACGAAATTCATGGGGAATAAAAGAAGAATTAACCTGCTTGTACATGGTATCCTTGTTGTCTCAAGAGTCTGAAAGAAAGTGAAACATGATGAAGAGTGTAGTATTTATAATCAAAAGTTCTTGTTGCCACATAATGTTGCTTCAGAATTGCTTTGATTTCCTCCCGAAAGTGATAATCAAGATCAAGCCGTTGAATCCCATCAACCAAAATCAAACTTTTGATTGGATCATAATCTTCTGATGATGATGATTCCAAAAATTGCCTAAGATTCTCCACTTTTTGTACATAAAATTCATCCTGCAATTTGGAATACATATCTTCTTTACACACACACACACACATATTTATATATCAAATAGATTTATATATAGAGAATACATATATCTGATGATTTAGAAAGTAACTATGAAATTGGAACCGTGTTCATTAATATCAGAAGTTGCAAGATTTCTCCATTTCCGAGTAGTAGAAGTTCTACATGAAACACGAAAGGGATTTCCCTTTCCTATTTCCCGAGTAATAGTCGAGAGATTAGAACAACCGCAGCCGGGAAGAGGCGACAGGCCGCTGCAGACTGTCATGGTTGCCACCGCAGTCAGAGCAGTTTTTTTAAGGAACTATATCTCATACGAAAGCCTTTAACTATTTCTTATAAGGAAGCCTTTTGGGAAAGTCATATTGCTTGTAGGCAATGTCCTGCAGGATCCTTTAATATTAACATAAATTGTGTTCAAATCAAATATTTATAAATATTATTGAAACACATGACATGCGTGGAACCGTATTAGTTGAAGAAAATTGAATGTTGGTACCCAATTTAGGATTTGGTTTCCAACCTTTAATTAAATTATTATCTTCTTTGTATTTAAATAATTTGTGGAATTGCAATATTGTCAGCCAGTTAGAGCAAACAAATGTTAAAATCTTCCCTAAAAAATTAAAAATAAATTAAAACCTGCATAAGTAGGTCCCACATCCTTAATTTATCAACTACTTTAGTGTACAAAATTTATTAATAGTGTTAATTAAGGCGGGCAGCCAGCCAGCCAGAGAGACAGGACATGATCAAGAATTTATATATGAATTGGGACCCAGATACAGGCGCAATGGGCATGTTTGGGAGTAATTGTAAGTGTTTATAAGCCGTGAATCATCATGCAGTGTAGATAAAAATATGAACTGGAAGAACGAGCATCAATGGAAACTGCAGCACAATGGCATAAAAGGATAATAATGAATTCATAAAGATGAACTCCAATCGTAAATCTGTATAAATATAAAAGAAAAGAATTATGGTTTTCGTTGATTTTCCTATCTGAAAATCTATCTAATAGTGGTAATTGCAGTCTACAGAAACTTGTTGGGAATAGACATCAATACCTAGCATAATATAGTTCTAAGCTCATTTATTACAATGACAAAGTTCAACAACAATTCCCAGCAGAATGTAATCCCTCATTACATCCTTAATCAAATCATGGACAGAATATAATTCTCCAGTTTCCAGCATGCTCCAGTAATCATAGTACAGTGTGTAATAAACATATAGCAATGCATTTACATATATATTCGAAATCAGCAGGATATACATCAACCATAAAACTGAAAAACAGAACCTAAACTCGACAGAAATAAAAGAGCAGAAAACCTTCACTTTTCCAGTCGAAGCACACCATTGAAGCCAAGTTATTCCTCCTCTTTTCAGCTGAAAGATTAGGCTCAGGAACAGCTTTCAATGTTACGCAAATCGCCTTCCAAAGGGAGCAAGAGAGCCGGCCAGAATGCTTCCTCTCATGGCTTGGATCATCGACCGAAGGTCTACCAAGAATAGCAAGAATCACGCCCAAATCAGACCTATCGAACGCCAGAGAAACCCAACCTCTTAACCACTGTTTCAGGTCTAAAAGCACACAAGGAATTTCATCAATCAATAGGCTAAAGATCGATTTTTGGGCCAGAGAAGGAAGAAGGAAGAACCAGCCTCTAGGCTGTAGAGGCAGAGAAG